AAAACATAGGTTATCGCAAGAACTTGGCTATGTACAAATTACAAGCCAGTGCAGTTACAAAAATACTTCACAAGTAGACGTTATCGCGAAAGTAAAGTCACTCCCTCTTCAATATATGTGATAGGTTGCGAATTACGAACGATTGTATAATACTGTGCATCTTCTTCTGTTGTTCATTTATAGGTTGGCTTAATGCACTCATGTATAACTAACTGCATTTTCGGAAGGTATACAATGGTTGGGGATTTGGCTCAGTAGCTTGACGTGCAATCTCATTTGCTGGGACCTTTCAGAAAAAAAAGAATGCATGAATTTTAGAATTAATCATGAGCTTTTGTGGATGCAGAATGAGCGTGTGGAAATGGCCTATTAAACGCAAATATTTGAATCTCTTGCAAAAATCTACAAGGAAATTAGTTGAAGACCAAAATTTATACTGTTTGACGCTGTTCGGGTGGCTTTGTTAGTCGCTCAAGTAACTTGATTTAACAGAATTGGGGCGATTTGACGCCAATCCTAATTAATTTTTCCGATAAAATGACATCCACTGGTGCTTCAAATCTCTACGCCATAAATACGGTAAGTTTCTTTGCTACTTGTCTCCTGAGATGCAACAACATCCGGCATCCTACAAAATGCAGGAAAGCATCATCATCTGAATGTCGTTTTTCCCGAAGTATGTAAGCGATTACCGGCAAAGCGATGTAAACAGTTGCAAACATTCTAATGTATTTAACAAAATAACCACTTTCTGGAATCAGCGCGCTTGTACACGCCCTATGTACTCCATGTCTGCTAAAATGTTTAGCATGCTAACAGCGGGGCAAGTGGACTCATTGACGCAAGAGTTATTGATCGGATATCGCATTCAGAACATACTTGCGTACTGATAGGCTAACCGACGGTTTGAGTAACTTCAGTGTCGGCTGATCGCGTATACTTTTGAAACAGATGCAAGTAGCATGCAGCGTCCTTGAAATCAGAAAATGCACCTACCCGTGTGTAAAAGCCTATTTGGACTATGACCTGACTTAACTACGGAAATTATACTTTACAAAAATCAAAGCGATGTCAGGTTCGGGTAAACGCCGACTCCAATTTGGTGGTGGTACATTTCTTATTTTATATGTTAACATAAGTGCATTTTCTTTCGATTAAAGCACAATATCTATAATAATCTTTTGAGAGTTGCCAATTAGGAATGCAACATTTTTTGAGTGCGTTTCAGTACATCCATAATCACCGGTGCTCTATCTGACATAATGTTGAGCACAATATACACACTGGTATATTTGATCAATATATTGTTAGTAAATCTTGGCATGTAAAGAGCTGCCTCACACCAGCAATAAAAATAACCTGCGAACAGCGTCTGTGTTATCAACCTGGGTATTCTAGTCAGCTGATGCTTAATGCGAGGAAGAAACCAACGTAATTTGACCGCTTTGCGAGATCGGCGAAGAAAAGTTGTAGCCCGATTATAATGCATACTAAGTGGCAGAAGCGCACTAGATAGACTTTATGACCTCTGAGAGATTTGGTGTCATTCGTACAAATTGCACTCATACTTTTTTCATCAGTTCTGATAGCCGTTTCGGTTTCGTGGTGGACGTGTTATCAGAAACGTTAATCCAATTTTGTTCAGTTCCGGATTCGCATCAATTACATTCGCAACAACCAGAGGTCACCGCTATTTGCTGCGACAAAAACCATAATGTTTAAGTGGATTTCTTTCGGTCATCCCTGTAAAGGTAAGGTAGCTCATTTGCAAATCTGTACCGGATTTGCAGGATATGAACGACCGAGTTCGTGTTGCTAGTGCTAGAATAATAGATAAAGCTGTACCTTATTGTCATCAAACAAATATATATATATATTCGTAAAGATATTCAGATTGGCAAATGAATTTTTTAGACTGCACCTAACATGTAACTAGATGCTCTTCACACATAGTGCATTTCTTTTCTACACAAAACTGGCTGCTTTGAGCAGCTAAGATCCCTGCGTTTTTGAAAACCCTATTTTATGGATTCTGGCGGATATTATCCAGCTACTTCAACCACTCTCCAAGGCAAGAAAAACCCAAGCTGTCCTTTTGAAAAGATCACAAGTCACACGCCTAGGCTTCGCTTAACTGATTTTTCAGCACTCATTGACGACAGTCGATTCGTGGTTATCCTTTGAAAGTCTACCTTAACACTGTTTTATGTGCTATTGAAACTATCTATGCGGCTAGAAAGATTTTTCTTAGCCCTGTTGAGGTGAGTTAGAACGGCGGTTACTCGCAAAAGCAGTGTATTATTCACATGTAAAACAGAATTAAGCTTCTGAATAAAGTGCAAGTAAAAGCCGTTTCTTTTAACCCGGTTTTCTTAAGGCAAACGGGGCAAGCCAGTATATCTCCCGTGATCAAAATGGATTTCATAAGTACAACCGCACTGCATGTACATCTGTGCTTATGAAACTTCCCTAAAACTGTCCATTCCGCGAATTTGCAGTAAGCAGGCTAAAGATATTTTCCGTCAAACTATAGAACTTGGTGCAAAACACTGTTTGCATCTACATACATGTGAAGTTTATAGCGTATTGACTTCTTCAAAGATGTAAATCCGTAGGGCCTTTTTCCTTTGATTACTCAGATTTCTTTAGAATACTAAGCACATGGATTTTGCCCAAGCTGCAATTCATGATTATACATAATCCGGATGCTTATTCCGTTGAGTGTAGTTTCACCTATTTTACTCAATTCACTTAGTTCTTCGAGCAGACGTTACGTTTATAGTAATCAATCCAATTCTTTTATATTCAATTCCTACCTGAATCATCTTTCTATACAGCGCAAGATTTTTGATTCTAATGTACCGGGGTTAATGGGTGAAATTTACAGCGCACAGCATCCATTTTAATCGCCGATTAAAAATGATTTAATCCACTTGGCATTGTGATCACTATATAAATCCTTTATAGTTACTTTTCTAAATATTGTGTAGCAATAGTTCCTTTCTGTGGCCGTAAGTTATTGTCGTTTGCAGTTGGGTTCGCCACTCTGAATACGAGCGATAGTTACAAAAGCAGATAATTTACCCCCAAGTATCGTTATATTTTTTCCAAAAAGCATACGGCTTGATGAAATCTTTATTAACTTTTTTCAAGGCCGCACACACTTTTAATTTGTTAGCGTTTGTTTGCTTTTAGCACCTAGATTTTTCATTCATTTCCACTGGATAAACTGACCTCCGTTTGTGTTTCCTGAACTTAAATAGGTATTACTGATAGTGCACATATTTTGATGTAACTATGTGATTAATTTTTTCTATGGATTCCTTGCATTTCTAGCCACTTTGTCAATTAGGACACCTCTTCTTTTGAAGCCTTAACTTATCGAGTTCCTCTACCGCTCAATAACCAATATAATGGGTTATCATTGCGCTCCTTCGTGTTTCAAACTATTGCTTCTTCTCACAGTTTACGCCTTCGGGATACTAACGTTCCAGATATGTCGCGACTGCTGTATGACCAAAGGAAAATCGTTAAAATACTACATGAGCGATCTCTAGCTTGACAAAAGTATGCAGGCTTCAAGTCATCCTTGCTTTCGTATTTACTTGTTACCTTCCTGCGCATTCGCATGAGTAATGGGATTGTTGAAAACGACCTCATTTGGTTTCGCAAGTCTTATTTCGTTGTTTGTTGGATTTGTTAAAATGCATTACATAATTCGCTCATCTGTGACCGTTTGTTGACACTGATCCTTTTTCCTTATGTTGTCTACAATGTTGCTCAATCTACGGTGGACTGTCTGCAAACTGGAGGGGAAACTATTCACATGTTGAGCATTCTCTTTGTGGCATTCATTATAAGAAACAGACAGACTGGTTGATATTTCTCCGCTGCTCAGCTTCTAAATGGTTCATATAATCCAGTCGCAGTCAGCTGGATTTGGCAAATCGGGTAAAGAACCAGACAGCTCTGTCTCGGCATTCTGGGTCTCGTTGGTGGTGCGCCTTTCATCGGACCCGTTGGGTTCCGACCACATAACTTCCGGATGCCAGTAGCTAGTGCCACTTCGCCAAGCCTAACAGTTGTGGATCTGCGTTTTTTACAGTTCTAAATAATTATCGCTTATGTTTTACGTTACACTTTATTATGCCCCACTCTTATCCTGTGTGTGCTATAATCCCAACAAGCTATTTAAGATGTTTTGGATTTCGTTTCATTGTTTATCCTATTATTTCATGGAACTATCACTGCCATCTTAGTACTTCCGTTAGTATAGCTGCGTTATAGTCGAACACCTTGGTCGGAATCTAACCCGAAATTCCTGGTAGCAAGTTCCGCTAAATAATTACCAAACTGCTTTTGGTTCATCTATTATCTGACTCAAAATGGCTAGCTGAGCATAGAATTTCGATCATCAGGTAAACATGGGCAATCTGTTAGCTTTAGTGCGCAACAGTTTTCGGGACAGCCACTTCTAACTAATGGGGTTCATTAATTAGACTGGTAAAAGCCATGGTTTATTTTATAACAGGATATATGTACTTCACAAATCCAGAAATTGATAGTTAGTGTTTGTGTGTAAATATTTAACTGTGTCTCCATCGCTTTTCGCTTAGCTTAAAAGGTGTCGCTATCGGTGCGAATAATCTAATTCCCCCCCCCAAAAAAGAAGCAGATGGAATTGGCAGTCCGATCAACAATAGATTAGATTTGTACTGTTCTTCTAGTCATTCGCCAAAACAAAGTTAAGCCAAACCAATTTGCAATTGAAAGCAAGGTCATTTATTCAAATGCTGGATAAACCGTATATTTCGTACGGATGGCTATGAGCTGGGCTTATATAAGTCGAGAGTACTGAGGGACTGCTAACTCATTTTGCAGAATGAGCACATTTGAGAATGCAACAAAAATCAGTAGAGCCAAAATGATCATGTATTTGGGATTGTGCTACGCAGTTATTAAAACACGGTTTTTATCCGCAACTCCATTTTCCACTTGAGTCAGCGAACTATAAACTGTTTTGCCTTGGCTGAAATAAAGGAAGAAGCTTCAGATAAAATACCATTTGGTAAATGTACTACTTTACTCCAAGGAAATATATATCGTAGGTACATGCGTTTATAACCAGTAAGAATATGGTTCAAAATCACCGATATAGCTATTGAAACGATGGGCTAGGTTGTTCTGAATTTCTAATGGCGCGGGGTTTGAGGGCTTAACGTACTATTAATGAGGGATCAGTGGAGTTAGAACAGCAGTTATTTACTGTTGATTTCAAAGGAATATTAGAGAAATTTGGTGTTCTAAGTAGAACTCAGTCAAACATCAGCCCCTCCCCCAGAGAATGTACTATACAGCTGTATCATCCCTTTAGGAATTGTCAGTATTGCGCATTTTATCTGACCCTAATGGGGCTCGAACCAGTAATTAGACTTTTACCACTCGGTACCTAGAACCACAGAACTACGGTGGAACTAACTACCGTTGTGACTAAGGTATTGTGGATTTGGACGAATAGAAAAAAGCCTAATTGCTTACCAGTTTTCTCTGATTGGTTGCATTTGTCACCGTGGCAACATATTTTCTTCTCCGCCATTCCATTCCTCGCTACATGGTACCCGTCGCAATCGTAAGAATAACATGTTCGCCGGACAAGGGAAAGCCGATTATTTCTCCACTCCTCCGTATACTTAAAAAGAATATAAAATGGAAAATGTGTTCACAGAACAAACGAATCTAGAGTTGTTTTAAAACAACTGGTTTGCTGACATGCTAAGTTTGGCGATAAAAGAAAAGATTCGTTTTCTAAGCTTAAACCGTAGTCAACAGTCGTTGTGAGGAATTAAATGTAGTCATACATTTTAGAGATTACATTTAAAGATTTTTCAATGGATACCGCAATAGTAACAGTATAAAAATCAAAGCAAAGGACCATGATAAACGAGGTAATAATATGGAAGCATCACTGTTCAGTAAACGCACTCGAACAAAACACTTACGGCGCAGCTGCTACAGTTGTATACCAGAGAGTGCGAACAGCTTTTAATATCGCTTGTTTTACACTGACCAACAAAACACGAATTGGCTGAAAAAGCACGACAATGAATTATTAGTTTGCCTGAACGTGTGCACTGAAAATACTATTGAAAACTAGAAATCAACATGGTTTCGCGTAATGTGATCAGTACAACAGCGGACCGGATAAAGACGACTGAGGGACCGTTTTCGTGGGGAGCATAACAGACTGACACAACACAATATCTCTTGCTCCAATGGATAGAAAAACTATTCACTGAATATCATGGAAGTTTGACAGTTAAGAAAGAAATATCATAGGGTCACCGTAGCTATCCGAGTCGCGTTCGTTACGTGTTTATACAAATATGTAGATATAGGTTATTCAGTTCATTGGGGGAATTAAACATTTCGCTTGCATTGCTGTAGTATCCTTTCTAGAGATTTCGTCACTTACCGTCGCAGTAGCATGAACTTAACAACGTGACAAGAAAGAGGAATGAAAACATTGATGCCCGAGAGTGTTCCGTACAGTTGGTTTAATTGTCACTATATATCACACACATTTAGTCATTTCCATTGGTAAAGAGTAAGATGAACAATGTCGCACACCTCTACTGACAATATTGATTAGCGTGGGCACGTCTCAGCTGTCTCCACACATACAGCGCTAAGCAAAGCTGAGGGGCTAGCATGGAGACAGTATAATTTCTCAAATTCTTGGTAGAGTGATTTATCCAAGAATGTGCCAAAGAGCCTTACCATGCAATCCAGCAGTGTGAGTGACTGCACCAGCAAATCCAGTTATTTACGAGATTTTCGTGACCTAGATATTAGCATTTGCAAAACCCTAGGTACCATGGACTGGTACGTAAAAATATTACTTTTCATTAGTTTGAACATCAATTACAGGTCAATATATATATATATATATATATATATATATATATGTGCCTCATACTGAGGTTGATGTGACAATGCTGCTTCCTCACCGCACTGGCTAAACAAACTTATAATTAATCTAGGTCTTTTTACTCCGGATAAATGTGATCCCACTTTATTTATCTGCATATTCTGTGTACATTTTGGGTGCTTGCTTTCCCTTAAATACGATGTAGTTTTTTGATATCCCCGGTGTAGCTGCGCTTGATGTGAATGTTGACCAAGCGCCTGCCTCTCCAACACCTTCCACCTCGATTACTTGATCCAAGTGACTGTGAATCGCTGCTGGGCGGGGGAGGAGCAGGGTGCACGTTCCTCGTGGCCGTACTAGGCTCAAAGAATGTTTCCATCCAGTACGGAGCAGACTGCAGCCCAACCGCCGCCTAGCGCACGTTTGGTATGCATGATCCCCTACATAGTTCGACCGGAATGCTGCTGCTGTGCGTGTTGACGAAGTGTGTTCCGGCTCCGTTGATGAAAGGTGGCTCCCATCCACATGCCTCCCGGTCTTTTTCCTTCGGGTTTACCCTTGATATAGGGTGTGTGGATGGAACTGTGCGTGGTGCAGCGCAAGCAACTTAGTTGCAAACGTTTCGGCACCATTCGAGATGGCATCTTCAGTGCGGGATTGATAGCAGTTAAGTAGCAGTAGCTGGTAGAAAGCAAACACAATAATGGATCAAGCAACTCATTGTCCCTCTGTAGGCGCAAGCGTCCCGTGGCTGTCTTTATGTAAATTTTGTGTTGACCTGCTGAGCCATTACAGTTTCTAACAAATTAACGATTATAAGTTGCACGTTTGATGGTTTACTAAGCAATGGTCTCCGATGGTTTGTTCAAGCAACAAACTGTCTGTGTCGAGATTTTGCAATGTATGAAATTACTATGATCTACAACCACCGAAATTGACGGCTTCGAACTTTGAACGTTGCAGCCAGTTTTTTGTCTGCGTATGTGCGAACGTGCTTCTGATCTGCTCCACAGTGTTCACGCGCTTCGGCATTTACCCAGCACACTGTGTCCCCACGGTTCCGCGTCCACAAATGGAACTTGATCAGTTATGTGTGAAATCTTTCCACACACACACACACACACACACACATGCATCAAGACTACTGTGGAACATGTACCAACGCATTCAACACCTGTTCATTGGAATCTCGGATGGTAGTGACATTGATATTTAAGTCTACTGATCGTTAGGCTCTATTCTGCGTTATTTTTGTCTGTCTGAGAGCGTAAACTATTAAGATTGATGGTTGTATGTAATTGACTTTCTGCAAGTAACACACTGTCTGTTGGATGTACTCCATGCTTTGAATAATTCGGGCTAAGCTAACACGTATATCGCATCATTAGGGCCCCAAGTAAAGACCCAAAATAGTTAACGCTGAAGGAGCATATTAATCTGCAGTATTTTCTGGAAAGCAGCAGCCAAGAAAAGATGGCCGGACAGTTTAATGTTAAAAACAGTTGGGACCATCTAACAGCTAAGCATGAGTACTTGAGATGATACTAAGTAATGCGTTAGCTGTGCGCCGTAGTGGTGGTTCGATACCGCTCTAGCAACACTAGTCGCCCGCGGGCTGAGTATACCGCGAGGACGCTCACTCCTACGCGGATTCGAACCGGGGACCTTATGGTTGCAAACCAGCTGCGCAGACCACCCGGTGCAGGCGGAAAAATTCAAAGGTATATTTAATGAAGCCAAGCTGAGCCGGTTCAAAAAACTAAGAGCAATTTATGTTCTGCGCATATGTCGTGAGACGAATGCCAGAA